GGGGGGGGGGGGGGGGGGTCCTGGATCCCCCCATGGTGAGCAGTGCTGAGGGTCCCCTACAGCCGACACCGCTGCAGCTCTGGGCTCTGCGTCCCCACAGGCTCCGCTCCCTGCAGCTGTGGGGTGCATGGGATGCTGCCCCCCCCATTCCCAGCACCGCCGGGCTCAGACCCCCCCACCCTCATCACTCTGCTGCCCCCCAGGCCCGCACTGCTGGCGCTGCTGCTCCCCCTGGCCGTGGCACAGCTGCACCCCGAGCCGGAGCTGGACGCCCAATGGGACTTATGGAAGAGAAAGCACAGCAAGCAGTACAATGGCAAGGTGTGGGGCTGGGGGCTGCAGGGCGGTGGTGTCCCTATGGGGTCGGTGCTGGGGTGAGGCTGGTGTCCGTCCGTCCGTCCGCCCCAGCGCCGTCTCGTCCCAGGAGGATGAAATATCCCGGCGATTGATTTGGGAGAAAAACCTGCGCTACATCAACGCCCACAACGCAGAGCACGCGCTGGGAAGGCATTCCTTCCAGCTGGCCATGAACCACCTGGGGGATTTGGTGAGTGGGGCTGGGGGGCAGCAATGGGGGCAGAGGGTGGGAAAACAGTGGGGCAGCAATGAGGACAGGTGGGGACAATTGGGACAGCAGTGGGGACGGCGGTGGAGGCAGCGATGGGGACCACGATGGGGGCAGGTGACAGCGGTGGGGACAGAGATGGGGGCAGCAATGGGGACAGCGGAGGGGACGGTGTGGGGTAGCGGTGGGGACGGCCGTGGCACCCTTTGGTGCTGCTGAGCCCCAGGGCTGCTGCCCCCCACCCCTCTCCACCCCCAGACCAGTGAGGAGGTGGTGAGGACGATGACGGGGCTCAGGGTCCCCCACAGCCGCCCGCGCCCCAATGGCACCCTGTACGTCCCCGACTGGAGCAGCAGAGCCCCGCCGGCCGTGGATTGGAGGCGGAAGGGCTACGTGACCCCCGTTAAGAACCAGGTGAGCGCGGCGCCGATGGGGGTCCGCCCCGCATGGCGCCCCCCCGCGTCACCCCACACTGTCGCCCCGCATCCCCGCAGGGGCAGTGCGGTTCGTGTTGGGCTTTCAGCTCGGTGGGAGCTCTGGAAGGGCAGCTGAAGCGTCGGACGGGGAAACTGCTTTCGCTCAGCCCCCAGAACCTGGTGGACTGCGTCTCCAACAACAACGGCTGCGGCGGGGGCTACATGACCAACGCCTTCGAGTACGTCCGGCAGAACCGCGGCATCGACTCGGAGGACGCGTACCCCTACATCGGGCAGGTCCGGGGGGCCGGGGGGCAGCCCGTGGGCTCATCCCCCATATGCCCCCATCGCCGTGGTTCATTCGGCCCCGCGGGTCCTGCAGGATGAGAGCTGCATGTACAGCCCCACCGGGAAGGCGGCCAAATGTCGCGGCTATCGGGAGATCCCCGAGGGCAACGAGAAAGCTCTGAAGCGTGCTGTGGCCAGGATCGGGCCCGTGTCGGTGGGCATCGATGCCAGTCTGCCCTCCTTCCAGTTCTACAGCCGTGGTGAGGGGCGGGGGGACCCCAATCGTGGGGGGCAGTGGGGGAAAATGAGGCGTAGATGGGGTGAAGGTTGGGGGAACCATCTGTTGGGGGGAGACTGAGGTGTGGAGGGGACGAAGGACGGGGGATCCCATCTGATCCCTCTGGTTGGGGTTGGTGGGGGGAACTGAGACACGAAGGGGGTGAGGGGTGAGGGAACGCCTCTGTGCAGGGGGAAACTGAGGCACGGAGCTCTGCCCCCCCGTAGGGGTGTACTACGACACGAGCTGCAACGCAGAGAACATCAACCACGCGGTGCTGGCGGTGGGGTACGGCGCGCAGAAGGGCACCAAGCACTGGATCCTCAAGAACAGGTATGGCAGAATGGGACCCCCAGCCCCCATCCTCACCCCCCCGGCCTTGGGGTGGCCAAAGCAACAACTGATGCTGCGCCCCCCCTTGCACAGCTGGGGCACAGAATGGGGCAATAAGGGCTACGTGCTGCTGGCCCGCAATATGAACAACGCCTGCGGCATCGCCAACCTCGCCAGCTTCCCCAAAATGTGAGCGGCGCCAGCGTCCGTCTGCAGGAGTGGGGCTGGGGGGCTGGAACCCCCCCCCCCCCAGTGCATCTCATCTCTGCGTCCCTTGGGGGATGCGGAGGGCGATGGGGTTTTTTTTTTAAAATAATAGTGGTTGGGGAGAAAGCCGTGTGCACCGAAAATCTCTGCGTTATGGGGCGGGCAGGGGGGGCTGGGGCTGCTCGGTGGGGAGGGGTCTGGGTGGTGGTGGATGAGTGGGGGGCCGTGGGTTTGTCTCCCCCCCAGATGTCCCCTCCTGCTCCCCTTATTGACACAGAATGCGTTCTTTGCGGGCCGCCTCGCTCTGTTGGGGTGAAAAACGGTGATTTTGGTCAAGCAGAGGGGAAAAAAGAGGGCTTTTCTACACGAGAATTTTGTGTCCGCAAGGAGAAACGGCCGACTTTGGTCAAAGCGAGCAAAAAAAGGTGATTTTTTTGTACGGCCCTTTGGTCAAAACAAGTGAAAAAGCAGCGATTTTTGGTCAAGTCGAGCAGAAGAAGTGATTTTTGCCGTGCGCTCGTTTGGGTCTCGTGGTGGCGAGAGGTGATTTGGTGAGGAGCGATGGCAGCGCTCCGCCAATGGGAGCCGGCGGGTCGGGCTCAGCAAAGCGAAAATGAAATCAAAGCGTTTCCTCATTTCTGGGCTCACGAGATTCGCTGCGCTGCGGGCGCTGGGTGTGAGGTGAGGGGACAGCGGGGACCCCCGGGTGCCCCCCGGACGTGGCTGCGCCCCCCACCACCTTCAGGCCCCGCTGAGGTTCGTGCGTCGCGTCCGCGGTGCGGAGCTCTGGGAGCTGCGTGATGGGGAAGTGAAAGCGTGGGGTGCAGCCCCTCCTGCCTGGATCCATGGGGGGGGGCAGCAGCCCCTCCTGGGGGGATGGGGGGCAACGGGGCTCTCATGGCTTTGCCTTTTTTTTTCTTCTTTTTTGGGGGAGGTGCTGGAAAATCACAGGTTTGAGTGAGCGGCCATGGGGCGCAGGGAGCGGCGTGGGGAGGGAAGGAGGGCGGTGCTCAGAGGTTGTTGTGTCCGTGTGTCCTGATGTGTCCCCGTGTCCTGATGTGTTCCTGTGTCCCCGTGTCCAAATACATCCCTGTGCCTGGACACATCTCCATGTCTGTCTGTGTCCCTCTGTCCAGCAGTGCCCCCATGTCTGGCTGTGTCTGTGTGTCCAGACACCTTTCTGCGCCCAGATGTGTCGCCGTCTGTGTGACACCCGACCAACCTCCCCCCGAGGGCTCTTTGAGTCCATCCCAGAGCTGCGGTGCTGTGGTCAGGACGGGGCAGTCAGCATCATGCTGTGATGACACCCCGACCCGCTCCTCCCTCACCAAACCGGCTCTGTCACGCAGTGCTCACACTCACACTCACACTCACACTCACACTCACACTCACACTCACACTCACTGCTCACACGCAGCCTCACTCTGCTGTACAACATGGAGCTGCTGCGCTGCATCGCTGCCCTGCTCGCTCTGCTGGCCGCAATGGGGCACCCGGACCCTACGCTGGATCAGCACTGGCAGCTCTGGAAGAAAGCCCACGGGAAGGCGTACCGCCATCAGGTACGGGGGGAGGTCGGCCGTGGGGGCGCAGCGGCTGCCCCAGGGGTTGATCTGTGGGGTGGGGTTTGGTTTCAGATTGAGGAAAGGCAGCGCCGCGCAACGTGGGAAAAGAACCTGCGCCTGGTGACGCTGCACAACCTGGAGCACTCCTTGGGGCTGCACTCCTACCAGCTGGGCATGAACCACATGGGGGACATGGTGAGGGGCGCCGTGGGGTGGCAGGGAAAGCCTTAACGGGAAGGGCTGTCCGTGCAGGGGGGGGTCACCACCTCTGGAGGGGTGCGAGGAGCACGGAGATGCGGCGCCGGGGGACGTGGATGGTGGGGCTGGGTTGGGTTTGGAGACCTTGGAGGTCATTTCCAGCCTTGATGGTTCTGCGAGCGGCAGCGGGGGGTGGATTGGGGTTGGATGGTGGCCTTGGGGCTCCTCTCCAACCTTAACGAATCCACGGCTCCGTGAGCGGGGCTGGCGGCGGCCGTGTGTTGACGGTTGGATTTGATGATCTTGGAGGTCTTTTCCAACCTCGCTGACTCTATGATTCATCCCCTCCTCTCCTCGCGGCCTCCCATGGCCTCGCCATGCCACACTGCCCGTGTGAGGCAACGGGGTGTGAGGAAATCTCCCTCTTACTGCAGTGTTTGTGGTGCGTGGCCCCGGTCCCGGCCGTGACGTGCGCAAATTGTCCCCACTCCATTCCCCGGGGCTGCAGGGTGTTTCCGTGAGACACAGAGCTGCTGGAGCCCAGCTCCGTGCTTTCTATTTCTTGCCCATTCCAGTGAATGGTTGGGACTTAAACACCCACGTATCCGTTTAAAGAAAAAGCCACAGGTCTCCCCCCAAACCCCGAACTTCCGCATCTCGAGGGAAGCTCAGCCCCCGCGCGCTCTGTGTGAGTCCTGACAGAGGGAGGGACGTCACGAGTTGCTGCTTCTCCTCCCAGACCAGCGAGGAGGTGGCTGCTCTCCTCACGGGGCTCCGCGTCCCCCCTGGGCACAGCAGGACCTCCAGGTACCACCGACGCGGCGGCGCCCCGGATGCCGTGGACTGGAGGGAGAAGGGCTGCGTCACGGAGGTGAAGAACCAGGTGGGAAGTTCTCTCCCCATCCCGTCCCGTCCCGCGGGCCCGAAGGCAGTGCTGAGCACCAACGCGGGTTCTTGTAGGGCGCCTGCGGGGCGTGCTGGGCGTTCAGTGCCGTGGGAGCCCTCGAGGCTCAGGTGAAGCTGAAAACGGGGAAGTTGGTGTCGCTGAGCACCCAGAACCTGGTGGATTGCTCCACGATGTACGGCAACAAGGGCTGCAGCGGGGGCTTCATGACCAACGCCTTCCAGTACATCATAGACAACGGCGGCATCGACTCGGAGGAATCCTACCCCTACACGGCTCAGGTAGGCGGCTCTCCTCAACGGAAAGCAGAGCCAAGGCGGCGATTCCTCCAGAAGAACATTTCTGATAAGTCACCTGCAATGCTGTCCCCGTGCTGCGTCACATTGCTGAGCCACCAGCAAATTAATGTCCCAGTGCCGAGAGTCTGGATGTCAAAAGACAAAACCCAGAATGACCTGGAGTGACTCAGTGGCTTCAAAACACGGTGCTGGAAGGAGGTCAGAGGGAAGCTGCTCTGTGTCCCTTCCACTGCAGCCGTTCCAGAACTCCACGGTTCTGTGATCCCTGAGGTCCCTTCCAACCCAAACTGCTGGGATTCCAGGGTTCCGTGACCTTCGAGATCCCTTCCAACCCAAACACTCTAAAATCCTGACTCTAAGGTCTCTCTGAACCAGACCATTCCGTGGTTCTGCGGTTCTACATCTTTGCGGTCCCTTCCCGTGCTGTGATCCCATGGTTTCTGCGATTCATCCGTCTACTCCATAACTCCGTGTACAGAAAAATGGTGTCAAAGAGAAGCAAAGAACGGGGTGGTGGTGCAGGGTGAAGGGGCTGAAGCACCTGAAGGCTTCGAGGTCTCCTGGTGGTTTCCACACCTTCCTCTTGTTCCCACCAGAACGGGACGTGCCAGTACAACGTTTCCTCGCGCGCTGCCACGTGCTCCAAGTACGTGGAGCTGCCCTATGCTGATGAAGCTGCCCTGAAAGATGCTGTTGCCAACATTGGGCCCATCTCTGTCGCCATCGATGCAGCACAGCCCACCTTCTTCCTGTACCGGTCAGGTACGACCCTTTCCCCTTTACCTGGGGCCATGCAGATCCGCGGTCACGCCTTTGTCTTCTGTATCTCAGCGTAAAGCTGATGGAGCTGAAATCTGGGCTGAATTGGGCAAAAATTGGGGCGCAGGGCTCAGATGGAGGCGTTGGTCAGCGTTGGTCCCGCTGCGCCTGGGGGGCTCCGCTCCCTCCGAGCTCTGCTGCTTTGCAGGGGTTTACGACGACCCGCGCTGCACACAGGAGGTGAACCACGGCGTGCTGGTGGTTGGGTACGGCGCCCTCAACGAGAAGGACTTCTGGCTGGTGAAAAACAGGTGAAGGGGCTGCGGGTGCGCAGCGGGCTGCCCTCATCCACTGACCTGACAACGTCTGATGGTCACAGAATCATAGAATCGCTCAGGTTGGAGAAAACCTTAAAGGTCATTGAGTCCAACCCCGACACGAGCGCGCTCTGCTCGTACAGAGCAGCTGGACGCAGAGCGCAGTGGGGCTGCCGCTGTGGGACGAGGTCGGTTTCGGTCCTTGCGTCGCTCCCCATGGCTGGCGCTCGGCTCTGTCACAGCCTCAAAATGCCTTTAGGACACCTCACACCCCCCAAATTCCCCTTACGAAAAAGAATCTGGAGTTCAAAATGCCGTGCAGAGGTTGATGAAAGCACAGAACGGTTTCATCGCCGCCTGCAAAAAGCCGTGGCAGAGACCTGGGAAGCACGGGGGGCTGACAGCAGGCGCTTTGCAGAGAAGGGAATCCCGCTTTTCTAACCTGTCTGTTTCCTCTCCCAAAAGTTGGGGCGAACATTTTGGTGACGGGGGTTACATCCGCATGTCAAGGAACCACTCGAACCACTGTGGGATCGCCAGCTACGCCTCGTACCCACAGATATAGGAGCAGCCCTCCGTGCCTGGGGAGGCCTCCGGCCCAGCTTCTGTCAATCACTGCCTGCAAGAATCAGCTTCTGTCCCTAGGGGTGCAGTTCTTTGTGTGGAGCTGGTGGGAGGATTTTAGAGGATGGTTTTCAGGCGCCCACCGCCGGCTTCTCGGAGGAGAAAAAGAAAAAAAAGGTGATTTGTCCTTTTTTCCCCATAGTAAAATTGCAATGCCAACAGTTGTTAAAATGGAGATCGCGCCTTCCTCTCCGATCGCTGCGCTGACGCGGCCGTGATTTTCTCTCTGCCTGGTATCTACGAAATCGCAGGTTTTTGTTCAGAAAATAAAAATAAAGATGAGTTTCAGCGATCCCCCGAATGTGTGCAGGGCTCTGGAGGCTCCATCGTGTGCCAGAAGGGCTCCAGCCGTGCGCCCCCTGCTCCACTGTCTCCTTGTCCCTCCGCTGCTGGGATTTGCCTTCTTGTCGCCTTTGGCAGCAGTGCTGGAGTTTCCTTGTTGGTGCTTTGGTGACTTCATGGTGTCCCACAGAACCCTCAAAGCTCCTCGGTGTGTTCTGGGATGACTTTGAGGCTTCTGAGACCCCTCAGTGTGCTCTCAGGTACCCCGGAGCATACGCAGACCTTCGGACACAACAGACACTTCCAGGTAGCCCTGCTGCACTCCAGGGCGCTCTAAACTACTCCCAGACCTCCTCCATTTGCTCCTGGGTGAATGAGGGGCTTCCCCACGCGCCCCAGAGATCTCCAAGGGCTCCCCATCCCACCTCACCCTGCCCCCTGCAACGCTCCTCGTCACACCGCAGCACCTCCAGAGGAAGAGCACAAACCAGCGTCCAACCCGGAGCTGCAGCGGGATTCACTCACAGCAGGGAAGCAAGGAACGACAACCTGGGGCTGCTGGGCAGCTCTGCCAAGCACCAGTCCTGCAGGGAGCAAAGGAACGGACCCTGCAAAGCCAGTTCTGCTCCCCACGCTTCCACTGCTTCTCCTCTTCCGTTCTCCTTCCTGCCAGAATGATGTGTGGATTTCTTTTCCCCTCTGCACGCCCCTCAGCCGCTCCTGGAGGCACCTCCCAGTGACAGAAAGGCAGGCTTCTTTCAGGGCATTTATTACAAAATCCTCCGTACCTCCACACTCCTCCACCCTCACCAGAGCAACAAAGAAAAACCAAACCAGCAACTCTTCACTGCAATAAGAGTGAGAAAAAACAGAGCGGTGCCAGCAGGGGCTCCCTCTCACCAGCAGGGCTGAAATGCAGCGCTCTGCAGGAGCTGCTGCTGCTGATCTGAACACCCCTGCACCTCGGTGCTGCTCTGTGCTGCTCTGTCTGCTCTCTCCTGAGCTCTGGGGGGCCCACGGGGCCACTCTCAGTTCTTTTTGGTCTTGGGGGTGTCGTATTTTCTCTTGCTCGAGTACCACAGCAGCAGCGGGATCCCAATGGAGGGCAGAGTCATCACACCAAAGGCCGCCCAGTCCAGCTGGAAGAAACCATTCCAAGTCAAAACAACCAAGGGATTGCCCTCCCTCCTCCTGAAATCCTGCACTGCTCCTCTGAGCTGGGATGGAAGCCACTCTCCTGCTCAGCGATGCCCTTCCGGGCCGCCGATGTGGACTGACTGCGATCCCACTCCGTGTGTGGGGTTGAGCACAGAGCAACTGCAATCCCCAGCCGGCAGATACTCACAAAATGAGGGGAGAACCTCCTGTCGAACTCACGCTGAGCCAGGATTCCTCCCTGCCCAGGAGCACTCGTGAAACCAACCTGAAAAAGCAAAGGCAGAGGAATAGGATCTGCCACCTCCCCTGCTCACAGCAAAGCATGTGAATTTGAGACTGCAGGGACAGGAAGCATCCCCCAGCACACAGGACATGGAGAGGCAGCTCCACCATTCAGCGTGGGGAGATCCCACACGCAGCCGAGCCACTCACCACAACCTGCCCGCCCTCCTGTGCCAGGTAGGTGATGGTAGCAGAGGTGAAGTTGAAATATCCAGCTTTGAGAGGCCGCAGAACCACCGTGTGGGACACATTGCTTGCCCTGAGGGCCACAAGTTAATGAAAACAGAGGCACTCCAAAGGAAGGAACGCGAAGGTTTGGGTAGAAGGGCTCTCTGCAGTTACAGGTACCCAGGCCCACCCAAAGCTGACCCAACCAACTCCTTTTTCCCCAACCATACGAACTGATTTGGGTCTGTCTGCAAGCAAGTTTGGTTTGTTTGCTTCTTAAGGCACCCTCAAGAGGAGAGGTTTGCACCCAGCACCTCCCCCCAGGTCTGGCGTGGTGTCATTTCTGTGACACTGAAGGAGAATGGGAGAACTATGAGATGTCCGGGGGCAAAACTGAGCTTTGGGAGGGAAAATAAACCCAAAACGTGAAAAGATACGGAGCAATTCTGTCCCACTTGACGTTGAGCATCCCAGAGACAATGCCAAAATCCTCCGGGGGGAAGGAATCATCCGACAGCTCCACATCTAAAGCAGCACTGAATGCAACAAGAAAAGAAAAAACAGGATAAGAAGCGAGTCACAGCTGGGTGCTGCACTGAGTGAAGGGATGGCAGCCCCACAGGAATGGTTCAGCTGCTGGGGAAAGTGATTCGTGAAAGAAAAAGGGCACAAAGAGAAGCAAGGGGGGTTGGAGCGTTACAAGCAGAAAGAGGAGAGCAAAATGAAGCTGCAAAAAAGGGAACTGGACGCAAAGAAAACGCTCACGAAGCAAAGAAAGATTCTATGTGAACAGGCAGAAAAGCATCACGAGATGAGATGAGTTTCTGCTCCATGGCAGGCAGACACAACAGCTCCAGAAGGAGGAACTCAGCCTTCGTGCCCTGTGCTGAGCTCCCAGCCGGGGGAGGATAACAGTGCACCATGGAGCCCAGAGATCCTCACAGGTCCTCCAGGCACACACACAACACGAGAAGCACGGAGCAGGCTTACCTGGAGCCGACGTTGTAGATGTTGTACTGCAGAGTGAGGTCTTTGCCCTCCACTGCGTATCTGTTGAGCAGAGACTTGGAGGCCAGCAGCCTGGCGCCCTCCTCACAGCGGGCCACAGAAAAGAGGGCAAACGCAGCAAGAATCAGGAGCTTCATCTGCAGGCAAAGGAAGACAGAATGGCATCAAACTGCGGCTTTTTCGCCGGGCCGGGCGCTGGAGGCCTCGCAGCCGCATCGGGTGCCCGGAGATCCTCCGTGCGGCCCCCGACACCCAACACCCACCCGGCTCCAGCCACCAGGCCCGGGGCCGCAGCACCAGCCCCCCTCCCCCCTCTTCGCCCCCCGAGCCCCGCGGAGCGCCCAACCTCCGCGCCGGAGGAAGGCCGAGTCAGCACCCAGAGACCGGAAGTTAAAGGGGAAAAAGCGGAAGTCAGCAGGGGAACAGCGGAAGTCGGCTGGGGAAAAAGCGGAAGTCAGCAGGAGAAATGACGGAGACGCCGTGGAGAGAACGGAAGTCAGCTCAAAGGCACCGGAACTCTGAGCGGATTGACCGGAAGTGCACTGCAGACCGCAACGCGTGGCCCGGAAGTGCTCTGAGAAGCGCGCGTGTGCCTGGCTTTGCAGGGAGCTGCTGCAGCCCCTGCTCAGCCCTGCGGCTCCTCTGGCTCCTCTCCCACAGCTCCCTGTCCTGTATTGGAACCCCCAGCCCTGGACGCGGTGCTGCAGACGGGCGTCAGAGAGCAGAGCACAGAGGGACGATCGCCTCCCTGTCCCTGCTGCCCCCCCTCTGCTGATGGCGCCCAGGATCCCGTTTGCTTTCTCAAGGCTGAGAAGCTGAGCTGGGGGAGAGAAGGGGACGGGGACGTGGGAGCTGCTGTCACCATTATGTCAGCGCAGCACCGATCTCAGTGTCCCCAACCTCATCACGCCATCCCACCTCCCCTCCCTTTGCTGGTTGTCCCCACATCCCCTTCCCTTTGCGCCCATCTATGCCCCTCTTGCACAGCCACCCCATCCTCACGGTTCTGTTCCCCGTGGCCCCACTCCCACAGCACCCAGTGTCCCCCAGGACAGAAGGGATGTGGGGCACGGGGACACATCCCACAGTGGCCCCCACCCCATGCTCACCCCACAGCAGCGGCTCCGCGCCTCTCGCCGTCCCCATGCTCTTGCAACAGGGATGGAAGTGGCAGCGGTGACATCAGCAGCCCTGTCCATTTCTCAAATGCGTTTTAGTGGTGAAGAAACAGGAAATCGCAGCCTCACCCCCCCAACCACCCCATCGATAGCATCGCCCCAGAGCTGCACGTGGGTGGCACTGCTGTGGCACGGAGATGGGGAGGAGGAGGGCAGCGGTGATGGAGGGGGCAGGGCAGGCCGGGGACAGGGCAAAATATTGCAACACAAAGCACGAAGCCCTGACACCCCCTGGACCTCAACCCCCAGCCCATCAGCACCCATTCGATCCGCTCCGCATGGAGCTCCCGCTCGCGTGGCCACGCCCCTTCGAAGCCACGCCCTTTTAAAGCCCCGCCCACCTCGTTGTCCGGCCGCCAGGGGGCGCTGCAGTGCTGGGTTGCCGTGGCGCCCCCTGGCGGCTGTGCTGGGGAGGAGCCGAGGGGATGAATGCGGGGTCCTGAGAGCCGCCCGTGGGCTGGGGGGGCGAGAGGGGCTGCGAGGAGCCCTGAGGAGCTGCTGGCGTCCCCACCGCCGTTCCCATCGTGTCTCCATCCCATTCCCTGTGCCGGTCCCATCCCATCACCAGCCCTGTCTTTGTCCCCATCCCCATCTCTGTTCCCATCCCTATTCCTGACCCCATCCTTCTTCCTCTCTCCATCCCATTCCCTGTGCTGATCCCCATCCCGATCCCCATCCCTGCAATGTCTCCATGCTCATCATGTCCCCACGCCAATTCCCTCCCCTATCGCCACCCCGATCCCCAACCCCATCCAAGTTCCCATTCCTGTCCCCATCCCCATCCCTGTTCTCATTCTTGCCTCAATCCCCACCGCTGTCCCATCACATCCCTGTCCTTTTCCCCATCCTCATCCCTGTTCCCCTCCCCACGCTCACCCCACAGCAGCAGCCCCCCCCCCCCCCCCCTCCCCCTCCGCTGGGGTGGGGGTTTCTTTTTTTTGGGGGGGGGGGGGGGGGGGGGGGGAAGAGGCAGTGGGGAGCTTGGGGACATTGCCGTTTCCTTCCTCTTTTTCCTCAAATCACATGTAAGCTGTCACTGCTGTCACCTCAGTGCGAGTGCATGGGGACGGCGAGGAGCACCGCGCTGCTGCTGTGGGGTGAGCGTGGGGAGGGGGCCGTTGTGCTGTGGGGGGGTTCCTCTGTCGCCACTTCCCTTTGTCCACGTTGTGCCCCACATCTCCACCCGGCCAGGGGACAGCGGGTGCTGTGGGCACAGAGCTGTGGGGATGGGGAGGTGGGGAGGAGCACCGCGGGGATGGGGAGGTGGGGATGCGGGGTTGGGGAGGTGGGGATGCGGCAGCGGGGCCATGGGGACGGAACACGGGAGTGAGGGGACGGTGGCGACGGTGCCGTGGGGGTGGGCAGAGGCTTCCAGTGCCGCGCGCAGCCCCGGGGGTGGCAGGATGTGGGCGGCTGTGATGCAACGCCGTCCCCTGGGAGCCCCCAGCCGCCACGAAGGCGTCCCCAAACCCCATTGCAGTGGCAGCGGGGGGTGCAGCACGGGGCAGGGATGGGCGCTGACGTGACGGTGACAGCAGCTCCCACGTCCCCGTCCCCTTCTCTCCCCCAGCTCAGCTTCTCAGCCTCGTTGGTGAGTCCCCGACCCCTCCGCTGTCCCCCAGCCCCCGCTGTCCCCGGCACGCTGCTGTCCCCACGTCCCCCCTGCAGGCTCCCAACCCCCCCTGCTGACGATGGACCCCCCCTGGACACCGCAGTTCGTGGGGCAGAGTGTGAAGCTGACCTGCGGGGAGCCCAGCGTGAGCAGCTCCAGCACCTGGTACGTGGATGGGCAGTGGTGGAAGAAAACGCCATCAAACCACCTCCACGTGGAGCTGAGTGGCAAAAGGAAATACAGCTTCCAGTGCCGGACCCGAGGCTCTGAGCTCAGCCCTGCTGTTGACCTGACAGCCTCTAATGGTGAGCGGCAGCCGCCGGCACCCATGGGTGCTGGGGGGAGGTTCGGTTTCCCAACCTTTGCCACCCTGCGTGCAGCCATGGCACTTTGGGGACGTCTGCATGGGGTGGACGCACAGCAGCGCATGGCAGGGTGTGCAGGGTGTGCTTTGGGTGCATCCCAGAGCAGCTTGGTGCATCCCAGCGCCCTCTCTCACGCTCTCCCACAGACTGGCTGGTGCTGCAGGTGCCAATACAGGCAGTGCTGGAGGGGGACTCGCTGTCCCTGCGCTGCAGCGCCTGGAAAAACACAAAGCTCAGCCAGGTGAAGTTCTTCCATGACGGGAAGCTGCTGCAGGACAGACGTGGGGACGAACTGCTGCTGTCCCCAGCAGAGCAGCAGCACAGCGGCAGCTATCACTGCTCAGCCTACGTGCATTTCTTCAGCACAGGATTGAAAGCCTCTGCCCAAACTGACCTCGTGGTGCAAGGTGAGCCCGAGCAGGGGTGGGTTTGGGGGGGTTTGGGGGGGGTTGGGGGGGGTTTGGGGGGGGGTCCCTGCAGCAGTGCTGCTGTCACCCCCTGCTCTGTTCCTTCCCAGAGCTCTTCTCAGTGCCGGAGCTGAGCCTGCAGGGTCCCCAGGAGCCCCCCGAGGGCAGCGCCCTGACTCTGCTCTGCTCCACCCGTGGCAACGCACTGCGGCCCCACGTCTCCCTGCAGCACCTCTTCTACCAGGATGGGCGGCTGGTGGGGGGGCCACAATCGGCCCCCCAGCACCGGGTGCCGGCGCTGCTGCCGTCCCACTCGGGGTCCTACAGCTGCCAGGTGCAGACAGAGACGGGCAGCGTGCGGAAACGCAGCGCCCCCATCACCGTCACTGTGAGAAGTGAGCGGGCAGTGGGGCAGGGAGGGGATGGGGGGGGGTCCCAGCTTCCCCCCGGGCCTGCGTGGATCCCCCCCATCCCAATCTGGGTCCCGACATCCATCCTGATTCCCTCCACCCGTTCCCAGGTTCCCCATCCGCTCCCCAACTTTTATTTCCAGTTCTCCAATTGCTTTCTCAGTCCCCGCATTCCAATCCAGGGCCATCATTGCACCCCACGTCCCCCATCATTTCCACATCCTGCATCCCTCCTGGGTCCCTCCATCCAACCCCAGGTCCCCATCCCTGCCCTGGTGCCCTGCTCCTCACCATGTCCCCTCTTCTGCTCCCCTCCTCTCCGGTCCCTTCCAATCCCATCTCCTCCATCCCATCCCATCCCACCCCACCCCACCCCACCCAAACCAACCTCCCCTCTCCCCCATCCCCTCCCCAGGGATTCCCGTGGCCGGGGTTTCCCTGCACTCCGATCCCCCCGATGCTCAGGTTCTGTTGGGTGACCGCGCGCTGCTGAGCTGTGCGGTGGCCGAGGGCTCCGGGCCGCTCTCCTTCTCCTGGCACCGGCAGAACCGCACGGGAGCGCTGGGCTCGGGGCCGCTCTACGAGCTGCGGGCGGCGCAGCTGGGGGACGACGACCGCTATCACTGCACGGCCAGCAACGGCATCAGCACGGCCAGCAGCCCGCAGCTGCGCCTCGCCGTCACACGTGAGCTCGGCCCGCTGCGCCCCCTGCCCGCACCTCTCCCACCCGGTCCCCCCGCCGCCGCCGTTTCCAACGGCCCCGCTCCCTGCCGGGCTCCGCTCAGACCCTTCGGTCCCTCCTCGCGCCCCCGGGTGCCCCCTGTCCCCCCGCCTCTTCCCAGTCTCCCCGTCCCTTCCAGATTCCCCACGTCCCACCCCAGAACCCCCCTCTGTGCCCCGCGCCCCCCATCCCTCTCCGCTTGCTTCCATCCATCCCCGGCTCCGCATCCCTGCCCCAGTGCCCAACATCTCACTGCTCCCATCCCCACCCCACCCGCGTTCCCTGTCCCACACCCCCCCACTCCACCCACATCCAATCTCTCGGTGTCCTCCATCCCTCCTGAGTCCCTCCATCTGTCCCCAGCTCCCCATCCACGCCCACATCGCCCCCAGCTCCCAAATCCCTCCTGGATCTGCAATCCCATCTCATCCCACCCCATCCCACCCCACCCCCTCCCCTCCCTCTGTCCGACCCCATGCCCTCTCAGTGCCGGTGTCCAACGCCAGCATCGCGGTGCTGGGGACGGAGGTGGGAGCAGAGCTGGAGCGGACGGCGGGCGAGGAGCTGAACCTGAGCTGCAGGGTGGGGGAGGGGACGGGGCCGGTGGGCTTCGTGTGGCTGCGGGACGGGCAGGAGCTGAGCAGGGGCCCCACGTGGCACCTGGGGGTGCTGGGGCCGCAGCACGCGGGCACCTATCAGTGCGTGGCCGCCAACAGCCTGGGGACCCGGCGCGTCTTCAAGGCCCGCAGCCCCGAGGTTCTCCTGGTGGTGACGCGGCAGGGATGGGGACGGCGGCGGGCGCAAGGTGAGGGCCGTGGGGACGCGGCCTCGGGGCTCTGCCGGCCCGGCCCGTGCCGCACCGTCCCCTCTCCGCCCCCAGTCCTGGCTGCAGGGCTCCCCGCCTCCCTCCTGGTGCTGCTGGCTGTCGCTGCTGCGCTCGGTCGGCACTTCTGGCGGCGGCGGCGCGGCGGTGAGAGCCACAAACGGGGGGCGGCCGGGGTCCGACGCACGTGGGGACAACGGCGCTCCCCCGGGGACGCTCACCGCCTCCTCTCCCCTTCCTTCGCAGCAGCCTCCAAGAGGCAGCACAGGTGTGCGCAGCACCCGGCCGAGCCCCCGTGCGCCCTCCGGCTCCGTCCCTTACCCCCGCGGTCCCTTTGCCCCCCCAGGGACCCCGCAGCCCCTCCTGGCCTTTCTTCCCCCCCCATCCTCAGCACGGAGCCCTCGGAGCCCGACTACATCAACGGTGAGCGCCAAACCTCGGGGGCAGCGCGGCGCCCGCGGCGCAGCAACGACGTTTCGTCCGGGTTTGTCCCCGCAGTGCCGCCGCGGACGCCGAGCGCCGAGGACGTGCTGTACTGCACCGTCACCATCACAGAGCGCGGGGGGGGTGAGCGGAGGGGAAGGGGCTCCTCGGCGCGTCCCCAGCTGCCACCTGGCCGCCTTCTCCTCCTCCAGGCGCGTCCCCGCGGGGTCCCTCAGCCCCCCAGGAAGCCGCTGTCACCTACACAGACCTCCGGGGGATGCAGCATCCGAGCGACAGCTACGAAAACCTCCCTCACCAATAAACGCCGGTCGTTCGTTGCTCCAAAAGCCTGGTTTTTTTACCCTAAATCTCCTCCCGAGCTGCCGCTCGCCCGCTCAGCCCCTTCCGCCCCATCGCAGAACGGCGCCGCTCCTCTCATTTCCCCCAAACCGCCCCCAGCACAGCAGGGGAGAATGGCGGGGGGCTGGGGGGGGGCATTGCTTTCACCCCCTAAAGCGGCCTTTTGGGGTTATTTGGGGTGAAAACGGCATTTTCGGTCCCCACCCGCACACAGTGCCCCCATGCGCCCCTTTGTCACCATCCCCACCCCGCTCTGATGCTGCTCCCATAGAAGCGGGGGGGGGGGGG